AGCAACAAGGCGATTTTGAGCGTCGCTGACGAGACACTGCGCGACTTGGCGGCGCCGCTCAAGACTCACGCCAAAGCCATCCAGTTTGTCAAGGCGTATGCACCGAAAGCGACGATTCTGAAGCTGCTCCAGGCCGGCGTCTCGGTGCAAGATCCATTTGTCGCCGACTGGCTGCACATGCTGCGCCGCCACGTGTTCAACAACATCAAGTTTCGGTCGCGCATCCGCGTTCTTGACGGCGTCGTGCTCATGGGCGTCATTGACGAGACAAACACGCTGCCCGAAGGCTGCATCTTCTTCCTTCCCAGCTTTCGGTCGCCACTGTACAAGGCCATACCGGCAACAATCGGCACGCGCTGCGTCGTGGGCCGCCACCCGAGTCTTCACCCGGGCGACCTCCGAGTGCTCACATATATGATGGTCCCGGCACTCTGCCATCTCTTTGACGTGCTCGTCTTCTCGTCGCGCGGCCAGCGACCGGTGACCGACATGATGTCGGGCGGCGACATGGACGGCGACCTCTACTTTTGTCTCTGGGATCAACGTCTCGTGCCGGCGCAGGATGTGCCACCGATGCAGCCACCTGCCGCATCATTGGGCATCCCACCGCCGTCGTCTGCCCCCGGCATCCAGGTACACGGAGCTACTGCAATCTCAGATATTATTGGACTAAATGATGTGGGTGTTTAGGGTATCCAGGATCACTTTATCCGGTTCCTCGCGCATGACAACTTGGGCATGATATCCAATATGCATCTCGCGATTGCCGACAATAGTGTTCACAAAGCGTACGACGTTCGGGCGCTCGAGCTTGCCGAAGCGCACGCCATTGCAGTTGATTTTGCAAAGTCCGGGATTGAAGCGCCGACGCCGATGTACAACATACCAGCGTACCCTGATTTTATGGAGCGCGCGGGCCCCTCGTACAAGTCCAAGACGGCGATTGGTATTCTCTACCGCAAGTCGCGGTCGGTGCGCCGGCAACCCGTGTCCACCGAGGATGTGGACTGGGCCGTGCTGACGCCGGGGTTTGACGTGTACCTTGCGGACGCGCGCCATTGGTTTGTGCAGTACGCCCACGCGCTCTTCACGCTCTGTCAGCAGTTCGGGATCCAGACCGAGGTCGAGCTCATCTCAGGCTACATCAAGAAACTCTCGCGCACGGTGGGCCGGGCCGAGCGACTCAATGCTGTCGAGCGCATCCGCGTCGCGCTGCGGTTGGTCCAAGAGCATTTTGCTCGTGTATTCTGGCGCGACCTCGGCTCCAAGACGCCGAGTAATGTGGTCGTCTTGCAAAAGGCGTCGGCGTGGTACTACGTGGGCTACACGCACCACCACGAGGCGCCAGGACTGCTGCCGACCCGCAGCTTTGCGTGGCTCGCGCTCGAGCCGATGCTTGTCCTCTTCCGCAAGATTTATGAGCCATAGAAACATGGACGAGATTTGCGTGGAAAGTCCTCACTGCATATCGAGTTGCTTGTGCATACCAAAACCAAGTGTGATGACATAATGTTCTGCCCCGTGGCTGCCAAGACTCAGCGGTTCAATAGGCCCACGTGCAAGACGCGCGCCATCGGTTTGTGCAGTACGCCCA